GCTACTCTTTTGGGTCTTCTATGGTTGCTGAAGGTTGTATTTGACCTTTGCTGTATAGCGCGGAGTCTGTCAGGCTCCAGAAGACCCTGTGGGCTAATAAATCTGTAGAAAGACAGGCCTACCTTACCTGAACAGCTAGGCTTTCGATTCCAGTGATTTTGTCCACGTCTGGAAGTCTTCAGTTTAGGTGAAAGGCAGTTTTGCCCGATGGTCAACGCTTGGCAGTTGAAGCGAACTGCAGACGGACACTGCTCTGCAACTACAGTTGGACACTGTTTTGTGACCATTTGTCTTCTGTCTTCTTGGAGGAAACAAAGTGTTTGCTAGGAGCCAACCTGTCCCTTTTTGTTATGAAGTTTTTTTTTTTAAAATAATTAAATATCACATTCCCCAGATCTCTGAGCAGTTGAGGGCTGTTTATCAGGTATAGCTGCAGTATAGAATCTGTCTGGAAGGTTGAGTCTGAGCTTGACTGTACTGGCTCTTAACAGGTAAGATCCACAGTCGTAAAAAGACAGAAAGAAAGAAAAAAAAACTGTTTGTAATATAAGATTAGTGGCAGAACTGACAATGGTAGAGAACAGTTTAATATTAAATATAAAAGAGTTAAAAATATATACCAGTTGAAAATATGAGACTTATGATTTCATAGTCTGAAATGAGATGTAGTGAACAATTATTATATATAGAAAGAATGAACAGGAATTGGGCAACACGCATGCTTTTGATGGGACCTATCAAAAGCACGTCGCTATGCAAAACACCTGGAATCAGAGTTAATGAGAGGATTTCAGTGAACACCAGGGAGGGGGGAGGAAAGGCAGGACATACATAAGAATGGGAGAGCTTGGTCACGTGACCTGGCTCTCGGCCAAGATAGCAATAAAGTCACCTGACCCCAATGAACATGGTGGCGACCATGTGTTATGGGGAAAAAGTTACAATTTTTGAGCTGTAAGGATTTTAAGCTTAATGAGAGGGACCTGAAGGCATTATCTGCCCTATTGTTGAGCTGCCATGCTGAACCATAAGCCGCAGAGGGGAGCAAAAGCCTGGAACCGAAAAAACTGTACCATGCTGTGACTGGAATGGAAAAGCTGGCAGGAATTTTAAAAGCCGGGGGCCACCTGCCATGGGCGGTTGCTATCCAGAATCTGAATCGTGAAAACCCATGCAAACAAACAATTTAAAGACGGATAATTGTGGAAGATTTTAAGTAAGGCATATTTAGGCTGGGACAACTTGCTTCCCATGATCAAGACCATGAAAACCCTGCAAAAACCGTAACATCTCAAGCCGTTAAGGTGAGACGCAAATGCAGATGGCTTGAACAACCAAACCTCAAAAACAGGTGTTTGCATTAACAAGTGGGGTGCTATGGGCCGATCCGTATCAGCCAATCCCTGAGAAAAAGTAGGAAGGAAGAAAAGATTGAAAGAAGAGAGAAAGCTGAAACTAGAGGCCCCTTGCCTCTAGCGTGGGCGCAGTGGGGCTGGCTAGGTGAGCCGCCCCAGACACAGGCTTAGCAAAGGGGACAAGTCGGGAATGAATGCCAGTGAAGGGATGGAGAAGTTCCCCCAAGCCTAAAAACAGCAAGAGTACTGGTCAATTCCTGGGTTAAGAGACTCGGTTAAGCTGGCCAGAGTGGGGAAACTCATGATTAGAAGCTGGTGTTATTAGAAGCATGGTAGGAGCCATGACCAGGCAGATGAAACATGTGGGTCAGTGTTGAGACGGCCCTTAGTCCCGATTCAGTCCTGGAAATTGGAACTCAGAGTCCCAGACAATATCTGAAGCCGGGACCGGCCCTGGGTGGGTGAATCTCTCGAGTCCGCGGCACCAATGTTGTTGTTAAAAAATATAATGCTGGCATGCCCCGGCAGGCTCGCAGAGCAGCTGCTAGTCCGACAAGGACAGCTGTGGGTCCCTGCAAGATCCCCAGGGTGGCAGGCTGGTCCTGCCATGTGGCCCGGAGAGCAGACGGGTGGGTGTGGCAGATAAAAGACTTACAGGACATAGTAAATAGATGTAAGGCTAAACATAAAGGTAAACATTTATTACTTAAAGAAGAGGGAGACAGAGAGACATGGAGACAGACATAGAGGAGACACAGAGAAGACACATGTGCACACGCCGAGGGGGACAGATGGAAGGGGTTAAGATGGCTACCAGGGAATCAGAAGTGGCTGGGAGTGGGAGTGGCTTGCCCTTAAAGGGATCAAACCAAAAGAATAATACCCACCTATCTAAGTTCTGCCCTATCAACATTCCAAGGCAGTTTTTTATTCATTAACCAATTAAAGCAACACATAGACATAAGAACCTCCAACACCATTTCCCCTTTTCTGCTTAAACAGAAAGGATTTAACTTTAATATAGTAAAATTACATATAACAAAACAGTGATCAAACAAGAATTACAGTTATGATATTTATATTTACTTTATCTTTTATCGTAACTAAGGAAAACTATAACAATAACTATAAATTCTTCAACTCCAACAAAGACTCCAGAAGGAAATGATACTATCTAAGTAAACAGGAAATATATTGTAAGCAGCTTCCAAAACTCTAGAATTTACAGAGACATCTTGCTGCCTGGACAGTCACCCAAAATTTTCCTGTACCATTGGGACATCCATATTCAGCCTACTAGCCCATAGTATCCAACAGGTTTTTCCAAGAAGCAGAAAATTTCGAAGACAGTTTTGCCTATATTGGCAGTCTGTCAGTCATTTTCTTCTGTGTCTTGCAGAATGTCTGGCAGTCTCTTTCATGAAACAGGAACCCTGAAGGACCAGCTCACCTTTGTCCAAGTTCAGCAGTCATTTTTCTATGGGTCCTGAATGTCCAGTTAAGCAATCCAGGTAAGAGCAGTTTTTTGCCCATGGCTAGCAAACTCCATAAGGAACCTCTTCAATGCCCATCTTCCTCTTGAAGTAGCTTGGTGCTACCAAGGGCAGATGTGTCTCATTGTCATGAAAAATTTTAAGTTTTAAAACATTTTAATACCATATTCTGAAGGTCTGTGAAAGATTTGAAGAATGTCTATCTAACTGAAATATATTTAATATATCTAGTAAATCTAAGTAACATGTCTACAAGCTTGACTATTATAGATGATTATCTACCAACATATATTTCTTAATTATACATTACATTTTAAAATGAACTATACAATCGCAACACCTTAATTAAGGGCAGAAAATATACATATACCATATAATAAAATTTACCTTAAATTTGAATTGATAAACCAAGATCCATACCAAGGCAAATTATTCATATCTATATCATATTGCCCTTTAAATATAAAGAAATATTTAAAAAAATATTTGGGAATATGGGCGTAGTTTCTCCAAACTGCTTCCTGCAGTTTATGGATGCTGTTAATCAGGTCTTTCATGGTGTATTCTGGGTGCTAGGTTCATCTCAGTCAGCAGTTGGGTGAAGTAATTTTTTGAGTGTGTTCACGGCCACCTTTCAGGGGGTTGTGCTCTATCCAACCACACCAGTCTTGAAGCAATCTTCAGGTTCTCATCCTCTGTGGAAACAAGAGAAGAACCTCTTTTCCAGAGCATCATATCCTTAGACCGAAATTTGGAAGTCATGATACCTTTATAATATATATGCTGGTTTTGCTTAGCAGCCCATACAATAGAATTTCTGTCTGTATTTAGCTCCTTTACAGTCAAAAAAAAATAAAAGAAAACACAATAATATACATAATCCAGACTTTGTGAATTTTTCATCTTTACATGGATTATTCTTCTCTACTCTTTTTAATCTATGACTATCTGTACTGTGTCTCTTTAAAGACTTTACCCTTTTTTAATCCCAGCACTCAGGAGGCAGAGGCAGGTGGATCTCTGTGAGTTCGAGGCCAGCCTGGTCTATAATAGCTAGTTCCAGTACAGGCTCCAAAGAAACACGTAGACAGAAGAATCTCCCATACCAGATGCTCAATCATGTCACAAGGACATGTACTCAACTATGTTCATAGCAGCATTGTTTGTCATAGCCAGAACCTGGAAACAACCTAAGTGCCCCTTGACTGAAGAATAAGGTAAGGAAAATGTGGTACATTTACACAGCAGAAAAATGATGACATCTTGAAATTTGCAGGAAAATGGATGAAGCTAGAAAACATCATATTGAGTGTGGTAACCCAGACCCAGAAAGACAATTATCCTAAGTACTCACTCAAAGGTGATTTTTAAACATAAAACAAAGAAAACCAGCCTATAAATAAAAATCCCAGAGAACCTAGACAACAATAAGGACACTAAGAGAGACATACATAAATCTAATCTACATGGGAAGGAGAAAAGGACAAGATCTCCTGAGTAAAGGGACCATGGGGATATTGGGAGAGGGTTAAAGGCGAGGGGAGAGGCAGGGATGGGAGCAGAGAAAAATGTATAGCTCAATAAAAGAAAATAAACTTAAATTAAAAAACAACAAAAAATGAAAATGCACCAAAGATTAAAAAAAAATTAATGCCAGTACAAGAAGTATATAGAGGAACTGTTGCCTAGCCCTGAGCTTTGGTGTAAAATTGAAGAGTCAGAGGCAAGTATTGAGAAAGAGCACATCCTCTTTCTGTTTTGTACTGGGCGTCCTCATCCTGGCTACATTCTTTTCTATCCCATAGGTGTGTCCCACAGTGAGGAATGTGTCACCAGTTCTGTGTGCTGTTTCTGTGAAGATATGACATGAAGCACTGCCATGGTCCTAGGAGCTGCTCTTCCCGGACTTGGTAAGTCTGACAGGAGTCATTCTTTTTACCTATTGTGGTAGTGAATACAGAGTCCTAGTTATATAACCTGGGCTCCTCTCATAGAACTCTTCCTCTGTGAAGACCTGGTCTGGTGGCTGCAGAGGAGTCCTCCTTGAGTTCAGCCTGTCCACTGGGCCCTGGTCTTTTGATCTGAGCTCTGGGATATGCTTCAGTTTGTAACAGGACAGATTTCCCTTATCAGTCTTTTTTTCTATTTTCAGTGTTTTTAATGTTGCAGAGAATCTGGGCACAGTATGGTGAGTCTGTTCCCTCTTTTAGCCCTGGAGAACTAGGTTGGCTGGGAGTAGTATGGGAAGAGTTTGAAGCATCTTGTGCAGATCCTGAGTTGGGATTTTTCACTGGCAGCCACTGGCACACTTACTTAATGATCAGAACTTACTACTGTAGCCATCTCTGGGGTGAGGATTCTCAACTGTGCTCCAGTAATGCCTGCATGATACGTGTCTCAGAAGGATATTGTATAAATGGCACAGAGGAGGGGGCACCTGCACACATGTTTCCTCCTGAGGATATAGATATTTGATTTCGAATCTGTTTTCCTTTTTCTCCTGTCTCTTCTCACTTGAGCTTTGCCTTGCTCTCTTACTGATTCTGCCATTGCTATGGCATATCATCCATGAGACAGAGTTGGGTAAAATACTGTCTAGTGTGTGTGTCACATAGATAGGATTCATTTATTTTCAGAGGTTCCCAGGCTTTGTGTGACTTTGGAGGTGAGAATTATGTTTGGGTTTTTTATGGACACAAGAGACAAAGTCAGACATAGGTTAGTCATCCGAATGGATTTCCTGTTGAATAACCCAGAGAAATAGATGATTTGGTGATAAGAATGGCAACCCACAGGGTTCATTTCTGAGCTGATAGGACACAAGTAGAGAAGCCACTGATAATATTAAGGTATGAGGGTTATTCTGGCATTGTTTGGGAAGAGTAAAGACGATTAGTCCTTTGGAACTAGGCCAGAAGCTCAGTTCTGAAAATAATTACATTTCACTCTGGTTAGTTTTCTTTCAACAGGACATAAGCTAGAGTCACATGGCAAGAAGGAATTTCAACTGAGGAATTTTACCCATCATACTGGCCTGTTGGCTTGTCTGTGAGGCATTTTCTTGATTCCAATTGTTGTGGGAGCTATTCTGTAGTCCTTGGGAATGTGTCTCTCCTGATATCAGTTGATTAGCACTTTTCCCGTGTCTCTCCAGGGCCACCACCCCAGCCTTCCATTTGGGCAGTTCCAGGAGCTGTGGTTTCCATGGGCAGTGGTGTGACCATCTTCTGCAGGATCCCTCCAGGAGTGACCACTGTGCGTCTAACCCGTCTTGTGCCCAGTGTTTTGGTGTCTGATGGTAACCTACAGGGAGCCCAGGAGGTGTTTGAATTCAGTCTGCAGAATATGACACACAGCGATGCTGGGTTTTACTGCTGTGAATACCTTAGGGGACGTGAATGGTCACGAAGTAGTGACAGTCTGGAGCTGGTGGTGACAGGTGAGTAACTGCCCAAGAACACTGTCCTTTAGACTCAGTCTCTGATCCTACCTAACTAACTACATGTGCCCCATCCCAGGCCCTGCTCTACATCTCCGCTCCATTATAGTGATCTCTTCCCTCTGCTCTTCTCTCCTCTCCTCTCCTCATTTTCTTTTCAATTTCCATTTTTCTTGACTACTTAATTTTCTTGAAAACTTGATTTTCAGTTTTTTGAAACAAGTTCTCTCACATCTCAGATTAACCTTGAATTTACTGTGTAACCAAGCATAATTTTGATTCATGATCTTTCTGCTTATATTCTCCTAGTGCTAATGTTGCTGACCTAAAGAATGACACCATCCATTTGCTGATAGACAGAGAACACAGGGCACTGTGTATATTAGGTATATTAGGCAAGATCTTGACCAACTAAGATTCAACCAAACACCTTCTGCTTTGGTGTGTGACCCTCAGTCTTTCCTGACCATATTGCAGCCTCCCTTCTGATTGGTGATTATATTGCCTAAGGGATGGAGGTCACAGGAACTGACAGGGGCTTTCTGTTTATGAAGAGCCTTTCTGTGGTCCTGGTTCATGAAAAGTAATACAAACATGTTTTGTGATCCCTATAGATTAGCAATAGATGAGTTTCCTATTGTCTTTATCTTTCTTTTCTCTGGTCAGACTCTGAACTGTAGGCTTATTTTTAATCATATTTTAAATAACAGTGTTGTCCTGGCTAGTTTTGTGACAACTTGACAGAAGCAGAATCATTAGAGAGGAAGGAACCTCAGTTAAGGAAATGCCTCCATGAGATCCAGTTCTAAGGCATTTTCTCAAGTTGTGATCAACAGGGGAGGGCCAACCCATGGTGGGTGGTGCCATGGCTGGGCTGCTGTCCTGGGTTCTATAAGAAAACAGACTGAGCAAGCCAAGGGAAGCAAGTCAGTCAGCAGCACCTGTCCATGGCTTCTACATCAGCTACTGCCTCTAGCATCCTGCCCTGTGAGTATTCCTGTCCTGACTACCTTCAGTGATAAATAGCAGTGCTGAAGTGTAAGCCAAGTAAACCCTTTCCTCCCCAACTTGCTTTCTGGTCATGTTGTTTCATAGGAGCCATAAGAGCCCTCACTAAGACAAGGTATTTTTTTTTGAAACAGAGTCTCAACTGTTTCAAACTCTGGCTTCCTTTGAACATCAATATTTGAGCAGAATGTTTTTATTTTATTTGGTTTCATTCTATTTTATTTATTTTTTTGGCCTGGTTCTTCTTTTCTAAAATTTATTTTATTTAATTAATACTTTTTCATTTATTTTACATACTGACCACAGTCCACTCCCCATAACCTCCCTCCTGACTCCCATCTACCTCCTCCCCATACACCTTTCCCCTGTCTCCATTCAGAAAAAGTCAGGATTCTAATGGGCTTGAACAAAGCCTGGCACATCAAGTTGAGTTAGGACCACGCTCCTTCCCCTGTATTAAGCCTGGGCAACAGATTCCCAAGCGCCAGCTAAGTGCCAGAGACAGGTCCTGATCTCACTGCTAAGATTCTTACAAATAGACCAAACTACACAACTACACAACATACAGAGTGCCTAGCCTGCTCCCATGCAGGCTCCCTAACTGTTGGTCCAGAGTCCATGGTCTCCCATGAACTCAGGCTAGCTGTCTCTGCGGGTTCTCCCATCATGACCCTGACCCTCCCGACCCAGCTCATACAGTACTTCCTCCCTTTCTTCAGGAGGACTCCCAGAGTTGGCCCCAGTGCTAGGCTGTGGATCTCTGCATCTGCTTCCATCAGTTACTGGATGAAGGCTCTCTGATGACAGGGTAGTCCCCAATCTGATTACAATAGACGGCCAGTTTAGGTACCTTTTTCACTATTACTAGGAGCCTTAGCTGGGGACAAGTAGGTTGTTTTTAAATTCACAAAGATCTACCTGCCTCTGCCTCCTGAGTGCTAGGAATAAAGACCCAAGTCACAACGACCAGCAAATAGAATCTTTTCACTTCCAGGTGTTTACAATGAAAAGCCACTCCTTACTGCTGATCCAGGACCTCAGGGAATCTCAGAAAGAAATGTGACTCTCCTCTGTCACACGCATTCTTCCTTTGACATCTTCATCCTCTGCAGAGGTGGAAATGCCTCCTTTCCCCAGGGCTGCTCACGTCAGGACCACAGCACATTCCTCATCTCCCCTGTGAGCCCAGGGCACAGGAGGACCTACAGATGCTTTGGCTCTCACAAACACAGTTCCTACTTGTGGTCACTGCC